GTTTCTGTACGAAGCTAAATAGGAGATCTTAATGAATCCCGGCTAGCAGTTTACATTCAGCACCCAGTTTGTAATATTTTCTCGTTCCCCTATCCGTTTCTACAGCAATAAAAATGAGGAAAAAACGCGGCTTGGGTGAATTTACAACACCGTTTAGTTCCCTTTTGTTATTATTGCTTTTCTCTACCATCCTCGGTGGACGTGTGTTGTTTTCTATGTATTTTGTTCACTCTGTTCCCATATTTTGCGCTTTTTTACGTGACAAACGGTGGCACCCAACTGTTTTAGGCCTCGTTACGGCAAGGGACAAAAACCGGGTATAATATCAATTGGAAATTCATAAATTATACATAGGTCAGGGTCTTTCGTGCAGAAAAAGATCTGAAACTTGGTACACTTGTTTTGTAGTTAAAAGCATGATAATAAATAAATAATTCCAAGCATTCTTGGGCAGCTCAGACAAGAACTCGTTACTTCCGTGAATATTCATTGATCTGTTGCTGGTTTTCACCAGGATCGCCAAAATTGTGACGACATCGTCGCCAATATCTCAGAAAATAGGAAAGTTGAGTTATGTCGATCTTATTACTTAAAAAAGGTTGCTCTTCAGTATCACGATTTGACATAAGTCAGTTTCTAATACCTTCACAGTTATAGAAAAATAATATTAGACTTATCTCATTTTAATAGAAAATTAAATTTCACGAGGAGCTGGACTCAAGTTACGCCAATTTGTAAAATTACGAAATATACAGGTTATTTTACAGCGTATAGCTTATCTAAGTAAGATAGCCGACACAGCTAAAAAAACGACAAAAGAAAGAAAGGTTCCGAAGGCAAAAAAGATGCGAACAAACAATCGAAGGCAAACAGAATTTAGTACGCAAAACTCTATTTTTACACACGTTAGATGTCCCGGAAGCATTTTAACACTATGGTATAGGGTTCGGCACCAGCCTTAATTTTATTGGTCAATTTCAATTTATTCAACCAATGACAAGCCGGGTGCCGAAATCATTACCGGAATGTTAAACAGTGCTGAAAACAGTGTCAGAATCTTATCAATTTAAATTGCCTCTACTAATATATCGAGTGCTGAAATCATTACCCGAATGTTGAGGATTACCGAAATACAGTTCGGAATTTCGAAGGTCGCCGATGCGTAAGGAAGTTCTTTATCGTTTACGCAGTTTACGTTAGATATTATAACCTCAAAGTTCAAGCGTCATCGTTTTTAATACGTTTCGAGTTGAGCAGAACAATGGAAGGTTGCGTTAAAATAAAAAACAATATATACAGGGTAAAGTTTACAGACGAAGAAGGCACTATGCAGTGGCTGAGAGATTATGAGGTAGAAACTCTTACAACTTGGCGATTCAAATGTGGTCTCGCAAATCCGCGTCGCCTTGTATATAGGTAAGTGTATTGTTATTGTAAAGGATTATTTATTTGATTCTAATCACGACCGTAGCTTTTTTATTTTTGGAGCTAGACTTTTTTGAATGTTTTCGAGCTAGATTGTCCTTGTTTGGGTGAGAACTAATTTTCAGAATACCTACTTCGAAAATTCAAGGCGCACGAAGGGCATAATATTGTTTAAACGAATGCAAAATATATTTTTAACCGACTTCCCAAAAGATGGAGGTTTTCAATTCGTCAGCTATATTTTTTTCTATGTGTGTTTACCGATTTTTTCAAGATGGATTATCCGATTATGATACTTATTTTTTAAATGAAAGGCTATAAATGCCTCTGGGGTAGTCCCATATTTATTTGATGGAAAAATATTGACTTCAAAAGAGGAAATCAGTTGATGAAATTATTTTTAAGGCAAATCTGGAGTATTTATGTGTTAATTTAGTTTTTTGGTCGGGGAGGTTGCCTTCATGAGTGACCCGAAATCAGTAGGGGTTGCAGAAGGTTACCGATTGGTCGGCCACCAAAGGAAGAACGCGCACCAAGAAAAAGAAAGAGAAGCACTCAATGTAAAGCAAAATTTACCGAATGCTAAGTCTCATGGAACAGGTCACTAAAACCTATTACATTATTATTTTGTTAATTTTCGAATTTTCTTTTTTATTTTTGAATATTCTTGTTTTTTGAATTTTCTTGTTTATTTCTGAACGGACCAATAAACATTCACATTTAATATGTTTATTTTCTACTACCTTTTCACGAAAAGTAATAATTTCTTCCCTGAAATGATAAATGCTGTACTTGAATGAGAAAATACACTCTGTGTATAGATATTATAATTTAGCTTCTTACATTACATGGGAGGAAAATACCACTTTTCCACCCGCGGATTATTTATACAAAAATCCAAAAAAAGTATATGATTTTTTAGATTTTTACATTTCCTTGCATTCTTTTTAAATTCAGTTGTTTTCTATAATATATAATTTTAAATTTTTCTTTGGATTTTTCTTATTGCTAAACCAAATTATTAATTTTAAAATCATTAAATATCGTAATAGGAAGCAACGTGCGTTGATTATTATCTTACGTATTTTTAGCGGAAGGTGAGTAAATTTAAATTTGAATTGATAACATTCTGACCCCATGCTCAGCACTGTTTAACATTCCGGTAGTGATTTCGGCACCCGGGTTGTTATTGGTTGAATAAATTGAAATTGACCAATAAAATTAAGGCTGGAGCCGAATCCTATACCACAGTGTTAAAATGCGTCCCGGAATGGACAATTAGAACTTCCCTAGAAAAATTAAATTCCATTTGAATCGTTGAAGGAGATGGAGTGGACAGAATCAGAATTCCTTATTGCAACAATGCTTTTTTATATGCTGTAGCTAAAACTTCGAATATAGAATATATCTCATTATACTATTTTGAGTCATTTCATGGTCAAAATGAAGGAGATTCTGCCCACGGTGTAACAACAACAGCATTGTCCAGAGTAGGTGAAATTTTATACCTGCCCAACTTCCTACAGTTATTAGTTTGGCAAGACGAAATCAGCCGTACATTGTGCACGAATTCAGCACAACGACTTTTAAGATCTTAAAACATGTACCAAGAGTTGAGAATGTCAGGGGAACCTATAAAACGGCCCGATTTTATGGAAATAAAGGTTAGAAGACATGAGGCGCTAACAATATTGTACAAAACCAGTCACCTGCAACACGAATACAACTTTTTTAGATTAAAAGGACAATAACTTAATTGGAAAGATATTCTGAATGCAGAGCCAAGAAAAATTACTGCGAAAAAATATATGGATTAGAAGTCACTGTGTGAAGGAGATATACCGGTAGTTCGTTTACCAGAATACCAAAGATTCTATTTAAATCTTCCTCATGAGTTATAGATGAAATACTAATTATTATTTTGTTCATCTGTAACAGATACCATATCATTATTGTTTGAATGAATCTTTTGTTTTTTTACGGAGTTACATAGTTTTAGATACTGCGGATATTTATTCCGCCATAATATTCATTGTTCCCCTTTTTGTAACCATTTTGTCTTGTAATAAAGCATTTTTTTTAATTTCATGTATTTTTATTTTTTACGACCCTTGAATTTCACAAGATGACGTTCTACTTTTTTGGAAATTTTGAACACATCAAATGAGAAACGGGTTAATCGTTGCTCATTTTTGTTAAGCTTGTAAACATGAGCAAATATACCCACAAATTCAACTATGTAGCTATAATATCTTTTTGTCAGCAACAACTCAAATCTCGTGATGATATTTAAAACGCTCTCCCGGAAAAATTGGAAAAAATGAGATACGCCACTTTGTGTTATGGACGATGACATATTGGTAGCTGCGCTGGTTCAAATCTCATCCCAAGAGAGTTTAAAAATAATAATAATTTATTTTCCTTGCACAATCAAAGTTTGTATAAGAATCATCAATAGAGCAGCTAAATACAGAGACATAACAAAACAATAAATAAAAGAAGATAGCAAACAACATTGACACACTGCTAAGCTCGAAGATATTACACAAATATTTACGTATTAAAAAAACTTTCAACCTATGCTTAAGTTGATTTTGATTTGCGATTCCTTGTATTTAGTTTAGAAGGATGTTAAATATTTTGGGACCAAGTATATTTGGCGATTTATTTCCTATTGTGAATTTAGAAAAGTTGGCGTTAATATTGTTATTCTGCCTCGTGGCAACTGTACGTACTTGTTGAGAGTAAATTTGCTCTTGTTCCAGGATACGTATGACTCGTGAATCGCCAGAAAAGGTACCGTTAGAATTTCACGTCTTCTAAAAAGTTATTTACAACTGTGGGTGTTATGCGCGTAATGGATCGAATCATTCGCTTTTGAGCAATAAAAACATGTGCCGCAGTAGAGCAGCCCCAAAAACAAACACCATATCTGAGTCTGGACTACACAAAACCGTGGTATATGATTACCAGCTGACTTTCATTCTTATGTTTAACATCAGGGATATTTATCTTCTCTTATGGGTTATGAAATTAAATTGGTCTTGTCAGTGTTCAGAAACAACTGCTAGTTGGAAAACCAATCACTCGTCGTTGCAAATATCTCACTGCATCTAACATTAAAGACATTTTCGAATTCACTCGAGACCAATGTTGAGGCATCATCTGCATATAGTGTGAACAGCGAATCCTCACACACTCAATTTCATTTATATAGAAAATGAACAAAATAGGCCCTAAAATGAAACCATGAGGAACCCCAGTATCAATGGTGACTATACTGGACCGGACTCGATGCAGCATCTGTTTATCTTTATGTAGTAAGGAAACATATTGCTTCCTATCAGCAAGGTATGAGTTGAGCCATGTGTCAGGAGTGCCATTTATACCAGATGCTGGGAGTTTTCGCAACAAAATGTCATGCTGGACATAGAGGCCCTACTCAAGGCCCCCGACCGGACACTCACCTGCAAAAATGTAGTTTTTCTCATGAATGTTGTGATTTTCCGTGGGTGGTAGACGGTCCCAGACCAGAGGTACCACCCGGCGGGTCTCCAAGGCGGTACCAGAATGATATGGAAGGCTTAGGTTTCTCAGAAGGTGTTCACGTCACTTCAGAGGAAGAAAATGCCTTCAGAAGACTGGCTGCAATGCCAGATTGTTACGAGAAATTGTCCAATAGCATAGCTCCTTTCATTTTTGGGTCAACGGACATCACGAAAGCAGTGACGTGCTTACTATTTGGAGGTATGCAGGCAATACGAACTTGATATTAATGTCATAGTAATAGTAGATAGTGAGAATTTGTATGGTTATATGATGCTAATAATTGTATCTTGATTACCGTAGTTGAGCAGTCAAAAACAAAGGTACTTTTAAAAAAATCAAATGGGTTGCTGCATTTTTTTTCAGTGTCTTATATTTACAATTACGTATTATTTTATGATGTAACAAAAAAAATGTAAGCTTTTATTAAACTTTTATTTTCGAATGTAACACGTTTTCGTACTTCTGTTGTGAACCTGTGACCATACCTAATTTTTGTGGCTCTGAAATTATCGAAAGTTCACCGCCAAATCTCAAATGTTGAAGTTTGTCGAGAAAGGAACTCCTATCGCGGGGTATACTTCAGGAAAGGGCAGCTCCGCTGCCGGTTTGACTGCATCTGTCATGAGAGATCCGTCGTCGGTAAGTAATATACTAAGTGACATATAAATCCGAACACCCAGTTTAAATGGTTTTATTTTAATGAAATTTTGTATAAGTACTTAATGAAGCATAATAAGTAAATGATAAAATGATTGCACTGCTTTAAAGCCCTTTGACCTTTAATAATGTGTGGATGCACCCTGATGTGCTACGCATTCTCCAACGCGCCTAGGCATGCTTCTGATCAGGTGGTCAATGTCCTCCTGTGGTATCTCATTCCTGGCTACCACCAACTCCTCTCGAAGTGCTTCTAGAGTCTGAGGAGGACGTTGCAAATTGAGCCATCTCCTACCCATCATATCCCACACGTGCTCAATTGGGGATAAGTCGGGAGATCTTGGTGGCCATGGTAACAATGTGACATCATTATGTTGAAAGAAGTCTATTGTGACTCTTGCAACATGTGGTCGGGCATTATCTTGTTGGAAAGTTGGATCTGCCAGGGTGTCAAGATAGGGTAAAAGATGGGGTTCTAGAACTTGGTGGATATAACGCTGCACGTTCATGTTACCTCTGATGAAGATTAAAGGTGACCTGGAACCATAAGTTATAGCACCCCAAACCATAACTCCAACAGTGTGATGAACATGTCTTTCAACAAAAAACTGTGGATTCCTCCTTTCACCACGTCGCCTTCTAACCTTGGCACGACCATCGTGCATGCCTAAACAAAAATCGAGACTCGTCACTAAAGACAATACTGCTCCATTCCTGATCCCAGAGTGACCGTTGTCTGCACCACTCAAGGCGATTACGTCGGTGTTCTCGAGTTAAAGGGAGGAGCCAGTGTGGCCGGTATGAAAACAAGCCAAAACTTCTCATTCGTCGGTAAACACTTCGCATGCCAATAGGTCTTCCGTGTTCTGCAAACCATTGATTTGCAATGGACCTGGTAGTGGAGACACGGTCCCTTAAGGCCAATAATCTTAGGCGGCGATCTTCACGGTCTCTTGTTCTACGGCGGCGGCGTCCAGTGCCCCTTGCTCTTTACGTACGGCCTTCTCGAAGCCATACCTGACAACACCTAACCACAGTGCCTACACTTCTTTGCACTCTAACTGCAATTGCTCGAAAAGAAAGTCCAGCTTCCCGAAGTCCCACTATACGGCCCCTATCAAACTCACTAAGTTGACGAAATGGTACAGGTCTGCGTACTCTAGGCATCGTAACCGATCGTAAAGGATGTCAAGAACCAAAATCCGCCAACGTTGATTCCTTACTGCGGCTGAAATATTCATTTTTAGAGCGTTAGTGAATTAAAAAAAGCAGTATAAAAACCGGAATGTCCAACTGATAAGGCTGAAAATTTTTACACTTGTTATTTACAGTAAGATAAATACATTCACCAACTTTTATTAAAATAAAACCATTTAAACTGGGTGTTCGGATTTATATGTCACTTAGTATATGTATGTTGCATGCCCACGTGTTTCTTTGCTGGAGTCTATGTGAAGTGCCTCCTTTCATCCTGTATCCCCCCGTAGCGCGTCTGTGCTTAGACCTCAGGCCAAGTATAAAGAAAGAGCCCGATTTCCTCAATACAAATAGGGCCTCGCGACATTTCATGATCTTCTGGTGGCTATTTTCTTATATTCAATTTAAGAAAATATTGCCTGTCTGCAGTCTCAACTAGAATCATCTTCTTTTTGACGATCATATTCAACGCCCCCACTTACCCCAGTGTACCGAGTTTTGTTCAATTGTGGATACTACTATCATATAGTGCTTTTTAACACTCCCTACTTATTTTTTGAACCGGTCACGTTAACAATCTAAAATTTGAGGTGATGAAATTAATGCACGAATACTATATTTTAAGGTTAAGGAAGCAGAATTTCAAAATGCGGATGAGCGAGATCTCACATTATCCTACCTTTGATTGTGTGGTCATGTGATATCCCATTATGAAGCACTTTATAATCCTAAGATATTACTATGTTTCAAAATGGCGAGCTGATACGCCATCAAAAACGAGCGTTTTCGATTCCAGCTCAACAACCAGTTATCAAATTGCTATAGTACGTTATATCAGTCTACTTCTCCGAATTTGTGATAAAATTCCATTTAAAAACTATCAAAATTTATACATTTTTTGAATGAAATGCTCGATATGTCGATAATTAAGTGATGAGCCAGTTTTTTTATTTTTTTCTTCAAATAGAATTATAATTTTGTACTGTGACCCTCAAAGTAACTGCCTTCTGAAGTCACACAGAGTTGAAGATAATAATGATAATACTAAGATACTTATTGCCCAACAGATACATCCATTTAAAGTACAACGTAATTGAATACAATTTGACGTTACAGTATTTTTAACTACAATCATAGCTCGCCCAGTTTCTGAAAAAAAAAATGAAAGAAAAAATGAATAGCTACACCTACTCACCTACATGTCTTAAATGTTATAAATTGAATAATAGTAGTCGCTGAATACAGCTAATATATCTTTGACTTTATTATGATGAATGCCACGATTATCAGCTATGGTGTTAAAGCTGGAGCACATAAAGTACAGGGGTGATTTAATCATAACATCAAAATCAATTTTAGCTAATAAAGCTGAAGAATGTACAAGTTTGTAGAGGAGTTTGTAAAGGAATTTTAAACTATTACAAACTCTTCTCAGCTCAAGAGGATGCATTTCAAATCTGAGCAACATCGGTGATTGGGGAGTCCCACGATTGGGATAAACACCATCTAATTTGAAAGTCAAGTATTTAAGAAATCTCCTCTGTACACTTTCAATTTCATTAGTATAGATTTGGTAATATGGATGCCATATACTAGATGCATATTCCAGCTTAGAACTCACCAAGGTGCAGTTTAAAGCCTTCAGTGCCGATTCACTACCAAACGATTTACCGAAACTTTTTATAGCGGATGAAACTATTGTACTAATATAAATAAATAATAAATAAATAAATAAAAAGGCAAAATAGTGAAATTCAATTCAAAAGTTTACAATGTTGATACCTAATTAAGTAACAGTATATTAAACTTAAATAATTATATACAACAATAAAAAAAAACAATAAAACTAGAAAAAAACAATAAAATTAGACTATGAATATGACCTGAATATTCTAACTTAACATCAAACAACACACCTAGATCTCTTACTTCTGAACAACGCATTAAACTGACACCTTCCAGTGTGTAATCAAAAACTGGATTCGTTTTCCTGGTAAAAGAGCAGGTTTTGAATTTGCTAACATTCAAAAATAATTTATTAATTGAACACCATTCAATTTTATGATTCAAGTCAGCTTGCAAGATTAGGCAGTCATCAATGCTACTAATCTGAGCATATATTTTTAAATAATCGGCAAACAACAGAGAAGGACAGGTTAAGTAGTTGGGGAGGTCGTTGATAAAATAAAGAAAGAGAAGGGGGCCTAAACTTGATCCCTGCGGTACACCGGATGAGGCCGAGTAAGGTGAAGATTTGAAACCGTTGTAAGAAACGTAATGATTTCTATCATGCAAGTAAGAAGGAATGAAATCTAATAAATAGTTACTAAAACCAAAAAGCTGAAGTTTACCTATGACTCTTTGGTGACTAATCTTATCGAAGGCCTTTGAGAAATCCATATAGATCACATCCATCTGACCCCTATTATCTGAGACCTCGGCAATTTCCTGGGTGATTTCACTTAAGTTAGACATAGTAGAGCGAATGCGCATAAATCCATGTTGCGTCTCAGATATCAGATGCGAGGTCAAAGGATAGATGTAGTTGTATACAGATATCTCAAATGTTTTACTAAAATTATCCAATATAGATATAGCCCGGTAATTTTCGATTTTACTAGGGTCCCCAAGTTTAAAAATAGGGCACACTCTAGCCAGTTTCCATTTTGTAGGAAAAGTTGCTGTACTGAGGGAATACGGACTACAAATCTCGGTAGGTACCATATCTTCTCCTGCTGGTAACTTGTTTGGTAATTTACACAGTGCCTTCAGAATATCCTCATCTGTGAAGTTACCGAGATGAAAACAGTCATGAGTATTAACAACGGGATGTTGGTATAAATTATTATCTATAACATAAACACTTTGGAGACACTCTGCGAATTAACTGATAGTCCGATTAGGATTATCTGAGACCTCATTAGCAAGGATCATCCTACCTGGAATTCTAGATGAGCCTTTCATAGACTGGATGAAATACCAAAAATGATTCGAATTTGTAACCAAATCATTTTTAACTTTTTACAGGTATAGATTGTAACAGTCTTTTATCTGTTGTTTAACAAGTGCACGGACCCTAGAAAATTGTCCATATATTTCCTGACTCTTGTAACGTTTATATTGTTGATGCAGTCGACGTTTCAGTTTTAAATTTCGAATAATACCATGGAGATTTGATGCTTGGTTGAGATATTAGTGACTCAATGTAAGAAAAACCATCAACTTTTACAGCCTGCCTCTCTGCCATTTTGAAAGATTGGGTACGGATAAGGAGCTCCAGAACGAGTGATGACATGGCTGCCGAATCCACCCCAAAAATGTTCCAATGAAATTTTCAGCTACCA